CCCCCCTTTCCCCCCCCCCTTTTTTTTTTTTTTCCCCCCTCGTTCTCTGCAAATGATTTTGACCCAGCTTCCTTCCTCCTGGAGCAATTTTTTTTCTCTCTCTCTCTCTTTATTATTTATATAAATACGCGGGGCCTGGCGAGGCCGGGGATGCGGGGCTGAGCCGCAGCCTCTGTCTTCTCCTTGCAGATCCGCAGTCGCCGCGGGCGGGGGGTCCCTTCGCTCCGCAACGCAGACCCGCCGGGAAAAACAAAACCATCGAACCGCCCCCAAAACCCACCCCGAGCACCCGGCTCCGGGATCAAGCTGACTGTGAGTGCCACCTTCCTCTTCCTTCTGCTGCGGGGGGCGCGGGGGCCTGGGTTTTGCTTCCCTTCGCCGCATGTGGGGCACAATCGGCCTCGGGGTTTGCAGGGACGTGGGTGCGTGCGGCTCGCGGTGTTCGCTTTATTATCGGTATTAATTATTGTTAATAGCAGGGTGATGCACCTGGCGGGCCGCGGCCGAGCTCGGGGGTGGGGAGGGGGGGAACGGGCCGGGGTCCGCGGTGCCGCTGCTCCCACCCCCTAGCGACTTTGCTCCACTTACTCGGTTGCGGGTGATGCAAACGCCTCGCACCGCGCCCGGGGGGCCCGCACGGCCCCGAGACAGCCCCGGGCCAGCCCGTGGGGCCGGGACCGTGCAAGGTGCGTGGGGCCGCGGTCGGTGCACGGGCGTGGGAGCTGGGACCCGGCCGTGGGGCTAGGGCGGCGTGAGATTCGTGGGGCCGGTGCGAGGCCGAGCCCGGCTCGCGGGGACCGCGCACACGCGGCTCGGGGCGAAGTTGCGGTGCTGAGGCTTAGCCGCCCCCCCGGATGGTGCCCCCGCACCCCGACAGCCCCGCACCCCGCCAGCAGCGCTGGCTCCACGAGAGGTTTTATTACCCACCCCCGCCCCCAGGACAGGGGCTTCACAAAGCCCTGATGGTGCCCTTCCTGCCTCTTTTCTTTCTCCTCCACCTCCCTCCTTCCTTTCCTTTATCACTTCCTTTTATTATGCATCCCAGGAAGGAAGGGGGGGACTTTCCTCAATGGCAGCCCCGGGGTGGGGTTCAGAGCAGCCCCACGGCGGGTCTGGGCTAAGGAGGAGCCCGCACATCCCTCCCGGCCCGCACCCCTGCCCAACAGGCTCTTCAACTTCTGCTCCACGATTCCTTCCCCTCCTCCTTCCCCATCCCTCTGCCAGGAGGTGCGGCTGGGATCCTTCTCCAGCTGCCATCAGGCTGGATTTTCTGGGCGTGAAGAGGTTTTATACACACACATACACAAATATATATATATATATTTAATTTTTTTATTATTATTATTTTTTAAGATCTAAGCCCCCGCCTGTCTCCCCTCTTCTCCTGGGCCAGTTTGTTTAATCTAAGAGTAGGTGGCCGGAGCGGGGGATTTATGGGGTTATCTGCACAGAGCAGCGTAAGCTAGCACAGGCGGCTGGGAAGGAAGGACCAGGCCCAGGAACAGCCAGGAGCATCGCTCCGAGGGGACAGGTTGGCCCTTGTGCAACCCAGAGGTGGCTGCTGGGGACAGCCCAGCTCACGCTGTGGAGCAGAGAAAGCAATGGGGCTGGGGGAGGAGAGCCCGGTGGCTCAGCATCCATAGGGATGGAGAGAGGAGGAGGTTCCCTTCCGCCAGCTCCATCAATCGAGAGGCAGATGTGGCCCCTCCACCTCCAAACCCTGCAGAGATGTTTTTTCCCCCCTCCCTCGGCCGCGGGGAGCCCGGCAGCCCCTGCCCGCGTCCCCCACTGATTCCTCCCTGCCTGGAAAGGTTTCTCCCTCAGCTGCTTCCTCTCCTCCATGGCAACCCAGCTGCTCCCTCCCTCCCTCCGTGGCTCTGATGCATGAGCAGGGCTGGAGCTGCTCCCGCCATGTGCCCGGCATCGTCCCACAGGCTCGGAGCTCACCCAGGGCCTGGCAGGTGCCGCCGAGCTGGGGGCACTGCGGGGAGCTGGGGCTGCTCTGGGGACCAGGGGGTTGGCCAGGAAGGTGCTGGGATGGCAGAGAAGCGTTCCTCATTTCCAGCATCCTCCTCCCAACCCCCTCTGCCAGAGCAGGGCCAGAGCCCCCTGAGTCCCCTCAGTTCTGGAGCCACTGGGGAGAGCTCTGAGGTGCTGGAGGGGATGCAGGGTGGGATGCAGAGGGATGGGTGGGAGGTGCATGTGTTTCCCCAGCACCAACAACTTTGCAGCAGCAGCTGCTCTTGGGGGGGAGGGCAGAGCCAGCGGCATCCCCGTCCCATGGAGGGTCCCCTTGGCATTCCCATCTGGAGCTGCTGTGGGGTCTGGTCCCTCCTCCAGGGGAGGAGAGCACGGCAGGGTGGAGGCTGTGCTGGGCCCATCTGTTTCCAGCTGCAGGAGGGCGCACGGAGCAGCTCTGCCTCTGACAGAGATTGACTTAAAAAGAGACAAAACCCTGTCCCAGCCCGACCAGCAGCCGTCCCTTTGCTGGCCTAAATCTAAACCATACTTCTTTTTTTTCCTAAGAGACTCCTTGAAGGGCTCTGGGATGCTGTGAGTAATATTTTCGGGGTGTTTACACTACGGCATGGTTTCTGTCTCCCAAAAAAAAAAAGACTCTGAGGGTGGTTTTTGTTGTTGTTGTTCTGCACTCATGAGTCACTTCCAGAGGGGAGCAGGAGCTGACGCCTGTTTTTTGAAAAGGCTCAGAGGTCTGAGAGTGGCTCCTCAGGCTGCATGTGCTGCCCACACCCTCCCCAGTGAGGCTCAGTGTCCCAGGGGGCTCAGCACCCTCTGCCCCCTGCAGCCCCGCTATCCCAGCCGTTTCAACAGCATCAAATCAGGACCAGTTCCTCAAAACTGAGCATTATTATCCCAGAGGTTACAGGGTGCCTCCATCAGCACACACGGACCGGGCACACAACCCCAGACCTGCCTCTGCTCCTGCTGGGAAGCCTCACATCCCCACTCTGGGCAGGTGTCCCCAGCATGGCCACAGCCACCCCACCTGCGTGGGGTCCCCAGCAAGCACCAGGACTGTGGCAGCAGTCCTGCTCCTTCCCAGCCTGGGTCCGTCCTTCCGGCTCCTGGGCTGGCAGCCAGGCATGGAGCCACCCCCATGGCTCTGGAAAAGCAGGTTTTCCCTGTGCCCCTGGGAAGTGGCGAGGTGGAGAGGGGAAGATGGAGCCTTTTCCTTTGTGGGATTGCTCCAAGAGAATGGGAGAGCTGCCCAGCCCTTTGGGACATGCACATCCTCGTGGATGAGGGAGGTGACAACCCAATGTCCCCAGGCCAAGTGCCTGTCCCTTATCCCAGCTGGGTGGCAAGAGCAGGGGCAGGGGAGCAGCAGAACCGACGCTGGGGTGGGGAGCAGGGCTGTGGGACTCTGAGCCCCACTCCAGGGCCGTGGCACTCCCCTGGGGACACCCAAGGTGCCCAGTACCACCACTCATCCTGTCTCAACTCACTGGTGCCAGCAGCATATGTGGGATTCCAGATTAAATCTGGAGCAACTCTCCTCTTTTTGAGAAAAGGGGCCAGGCTCTGCAGGATGGGCTGGCCAAGCTGCTGCTCCCCAAACACCTGAGGAGACCCCAGGAGCTGCCTGAGCACTGGGCACTGGCTGCTCCTGCAGGGAGGCCATGCTTAGGCCTTCAGAAACTGTCCTGCAGCCAGGGCATTTTGCTCCCCAGCCGGTGCCAGGAGCATGCAGGGGGCATCTCACCTGCCCCAGGGTGAGGGCTGGGGGATGTCACGGCTGGCATGGCGAGCCAGAGCTGTGGCTGACTGTCCTTCCTCCCTCCCACTCCTCCTCACTGCTGCTGGGACAGACGATGAGTGAATCCAGCGCCAAATCTAGCCAGCCCCTGGCCTCCAAAGGGGAGAAAGACGTGTCGGAGAAGAGGGGCCGAGGGCGGCCTAGGAAGAAGCCGCAGGTACGTGGGGTCCCCTATGAGAAACGGGGGGCTGGGTACCTGCAGGGTGTGGGGCAGCAGGAAATCCCCCCACACCTACAGTCCCCAGTGCAGCCCCATTACCCCTTTGGGCAGCACCTCCCCAGGGCTCAGCAAGACACTCCTGGGGGACTCTGCAGCACCCCAGAGCTCCCGGCCCTGCCTGGGGTCTCTCCTGCCCCTCCCCAGGCCCTGCTGAACCTGCCTTTGCAGACGGGCTAATTAAAGCCCCATTAGCAAAAGCTGCTCAGAGAGATAAGATGCTGCTGGAGCCTTTATAGTACCAAACCCCCGCTCAGCCCCCCCTCGAGGCAGGTGGGGTTTGTGCACAGCCCTTTCCTGCAGAAAAGGTGATTTGTGGCTTCCCTGACACTTCCTCGGCGGCGGCACCAGCAGTGAGCAGGAGAGGGGCTATGGGCACCATCCGGCTGAGCTGAGTGGGTGATGTTGGGGGGTGGAAAAGGTCACGTATGCCCAGCTGAAGGACACACAGAAGCCTGTGCCTGGCATCTGATCGCCAATCCCAGCATGACCAGTGCTCCCAGTACCACATGCAAGAGCATCTCTGCCCTGGCAGGGTCTGCTGGGGACAATGGGACTCCCAGGCTGGAGCATCCTGGGGTACACTGGAAGCCACTATGGGCATGCAATCCCCTCTGCTCTCCCTCCAGCAGGAGCCCAGTGAGGCCCCGACCCCCAAGAGACCCCGTGGACGGCCAAAGGGCAGTAAAAACAAGGCCACCCCAAAGGGCAGGGTAGGTACCCAGGGACGGGGCTGCTCCAGCTGGCTGCTGGCACCATAGGTCCAGTTTGAGCTCAATTATGGACAATTCAGGGCAGAACTGCCTAAGAGGTGGGGCTGGGGTGGGGGGAGGAATCTGGCCCAGGGAAGGTGGGGGAGCTGGGGGCCGTGTGTCAGCACCAGGGCAGCCAAGATAAAGCTGTTTGCAAAACACGCGACTCACATCCTGCACCCACCTCGTGACTCACTGGGCATCCCAGGGCAGGGGGTGCTCAGGGGGCTGGCAGCAGCACCCCAGGAGATGCCACTGGGGTGATGAATCTGGCAGTCAGGGGTGGGAGGAAGGGGAACACCACCCACCCCCACCAGAATCCTGGGGACAGCCTGACCAAAATGGCTTTTTTGTTGTCCTGGCTCAGAAAGCTGCAGTCACACCAGGGAGGAAACCTCGAGGGAGACCCAAAAAATCGGTGAGCGGGCTTTTCTCTTCCCTATTCACCTTGGCAGGGCGTTGGGTACTTTGGGGGCACGGCAGCTCCCCAGAGAGCCCCATGAGTGTGGGGTGGATGCTGTTGGGTCGGAGGAGCTCAGAGCAGTTGAGCGAGTAGGACAGCACTGGGTGGGCTCTGGACCCCCTAGGGCTGGGGGTTTGAGGAATCCTGGCCCCCCCATCTCCCCATGGGCCCAGGAGCAGCATTGGGTGGCTGGTCCTGCCCAGGTCCCTGCACAGCCCAAGGGTGCAGCCACCCCCTTCCTTCCCTGAGCTTTCCCTCCTCCATTCCATTTTTTCCCCTTTTCCCCCTCGGTTCGCAGCTCAGGCGGGTGCCAGATACCTGGATGGTTTAATCTCCCTTTCCTGCCTGTCCTGGATTTTGCTCCTTTTCCCACTGAAATTCCTCGCAGAGCCAAGGGGTCGAGACCAGGCAGTGCTGCAAACCCAAAGTGGTGTCCTGAGGTCTCCTGTGCCCATGTCCCAGTGCCAGGGGCTGTTTGGGGACCCCCAGTGCGGGGGGTGGCATGGGAGGAGCCTGTTCTGTGCTAGCAGGGCCGTGCTGGGGACACGATGTCCTGCTCTGGCAGGCGCAGTGGCATTTTTGTGAATGAAGCGGGAGGAAGCGGGGGCCGATGTGACTCAGGCTCACTCAGCCCTGAGTCACCACCGTGTGCGGGGTCACGGCCGCCCACCCCAGTGTGGGGGCTGGACAGGGACACCCACGACTGGCACCGCTGCCACCACCCGTCGGTGGCCACTGAGGACCCGGCCGTGGCGCTGGGGACCGCGGTCCCACACTCTGAGGTGTTGTGAGCCCAGGGGCTGTGGTGTCCCCTCCTCACTGTGAGCCCACCTGGGGGGCTTCTCAGCTGGGATTTAATCTCCAAACTGGAGTCAGGGCCAGTCCTTTAATCCAGGAGGGTGCCGTACCTCAGTTTCCCTCGTTGCACAAGGGGTGTGACGTGCCTGGCCAGCCCTTTGTCCAGGGGCAGTGAAGTGGAGCTGCACTCCCTGACACCCCCCGGCCACGCTCCCTTGCCTTGCAGCAGCAGGACGAGGAGGAGGTGAACATTTCCCAGGAGTCATCTGAGGAGGAGCAGTGACACCTCCCAAACCGGCGCTACCTCATCGCCCGACGGCCCCGAAGCGGCCGGGGGAGAGGGATGGGGAGAGACCCACTATGCCGCCCTGGCTTCCTCCTCCTCCTCCCTCCTCCGCTCCCTCCTCACCCTCAGACAACGGCAGCACTGGAAAATGGCCCAACCCGGGCGGCCCCCGCAGCCCCTGCCCGGGGGGCCCCCGCCCCAGCTCCCCCTCCCCAGCCCTGGGGTTTGGGGCAGCCCCACTGGAAAGGGGGATCGTGGCAGAGAGCCGGGGCTGGCACCCCCCACCTTCGCTGCCCCCCATGCAGTGATCTCGCCCTGCCAAAGCGGGTGCTGGCTGCCCCCCCAGCACTGGGCTCTGCCCTGGGGCCTCTGCAGGGAACAGATGAGGGGGCAGGGAAGGTGAGACCCCCCCCAAATGCATTAGATCTTTGCTCTGGCCCGCTGCTTACCCTGGGCAACCCCCCCATGTCCCCCCAGTCCTGGGCGACTGCACTGTGTGCGGGAGCAGCTCCTGTGGTGCTGCTGGGGCCCCGTGCCCATCCCGGGGTGCCCATCCCGGGGTGCCCATCCCGGGGTGCCCATCCCGGGGTGTCAGTCCCCAGGGGTGTCAGTCCCCAGGGGTGCCCAAGCACGGCTGGCTCCAGGCAGCCCTTTCCTCATAGGTTCTGGTATATATATATTTTTTTTTTGTTTAGTACTTTTTTTCCTTTCATTCACAACTACCTCTGGATATTTAAGTTCCACTCTCTGAACTCACAGACGTGCTGCTGCGCTGCCGGGGCACCGTGGGCTCGGTGGTTCCTGTTTTTGGGGTGTTGCTGGGGGCTGTGGGGTATTTTTTTTTTCCCCTTTTTTTTGGGCTTCATTTTTCTTTTTTTTTAATTGTTATTTTGAGGTCTAGTTTGCTCTGCTGCTTCAAGGGATCGAGGCTGGCAGGGCAGAGGGGTGGGGGGACCATGGGATGCTCCCCCTGCCCCTCTGCTCCGGCACGACGGCTGCAGCGGGAACGGAGGTCGGTGCTGGGCAGCCCCGGCGGGAGAGAATCGGGGTTTGGTTTGGGGTTTTTTTTGGTTCACTGTTAACGACCTTTTGGGTTCCTATTTGCAGTTACTTGAATAAAACATTTTATGGAAGTTTGTGATGCCTGTCCTGGGTCCCGGAGGGGTTGGGCAGGGGTGGCTTCTCCAAGGGCATCTCCTCCACAGGGACATCCCTGCTGGTGATGGCCACCATCCATCCACGGGGATGAGCTGCCAATGGAAACACAAACAGGCAAAGCCCTGCTGCCCCCCAGGCTGGGAACCCCCAGCCCCACACGGAGCCTTGGGGCCAAGGCAGAAACACGTTTATTTACCCTGTCTTCCCCCAGGCATCCCGTGCTGGCAGAGCCTGCTGCTCCTTGCCAGTCCCAGTGGGCCCTCCTGGAGCTTTCCAAGGGGCTGCTGGCGAAGTCCAAGAAAAGGAAAGAAAAAATTAAAAAAAAAAAAAAAAGGAAAACCAGGCACTGAGGTGGGAGATGTCTGGTCCTGGTCAGTGCTCAGGTGGGGGTAGTGGCTGTGGAATTGTGGCACCACTGCGGGCACGTCCTGGCTGATGGTACCAGTGCTGAGAGCATCGTCCCTCCCTTCCCGCGGGCAGGATCCGGTCCCGGTGCTCCAGGCAGAGTCAGGCCCTCCAGTCCCTGCGCGGGGGACGAGGGGGTGAGGGTCTCCCCCAGCCGGGCACCACCTGCAACACAGAGAGACACACACCTGCAGCCCAGGGCATGAGGCGGGTAGGGAAGGCACTGCCCACGCAGCCCAACCCTCCCAAAACCTGCTGGATTACACCCAAAGCCTGACTCTCGAGGTTCCATTCAATGTTCTTGTAAGTCTTTCCCAATCTTAATGGTTCCATGATTCCCAGAGCTCCCTCGGGACGGGCACCTCACTCGCTGCTGCTTCAATTTTTCATGGAAAAACTGGATAAACGCCAATCCCCACCACAGCGACTCACCTGAGCCTCCTCAGCCTCCACCAGCAGCTCCTGCTCCGACTCAGGCGGCTCTTCGGCCGGGTCGTAGCTGTACATGGGCAGCAGCCGGTGCCGGAGCCGGTCGGACCTGCCGGGGGTGGGCGGTGAGCGGTGACCCCGCTGCCCCCCGCGTCCCCCAGCCCCCCGGCACCGCTCACCTGCGCTTCTTCTTCACGTACATCACCTGCGGGGAAAGGCATCAGCGGCGCGGGGCTCGGCGCTGGGCTCGGCGCCCCCCGGTGCCCCCCGCCCGCCCACTCACCGCGGCCAGGAGGGCGCCGAGGAGGGTGAAGAAGAGGAAGGGCCCCAGCACGGAGCCCACCAGCGAGTCCCCCGCGGCGCCCGGGGCTGTGGGGGCCGTGGCGTTGCTCATGGCCCAGCTCCGGCTCCTGCCCGCATGGGGAGGATGCGCCTGTCCGGCCCCACGGACGGGAGCTCTGCAACCCACAGCCGGCCTTGGGAATGACCCACCGCTCGGGAATGACCCCCACCCCGGGAATCACCGCCTGGGAATGGCCCCCACTCCGGGAATTCAGCGCCTGGGAATGACCCCCACACCGACACTGACCCACCGCTCGGGAATGACCCCCACCCCGGGAATTCAGCGCCCGGGAATGACCAGCGTACAGGTAATAACCCACCTCCCGCCCGCTAATAACCAGCTACCCGGTAATGACCCTCCCCGCCCGGCATCACCCCCGTGGGGGGGTCACCTCGCACCCCCCTCCCTGCAGAGCTGGGGGCGGATCTGCCTCCACCAGCGGGAGGACCGCAGGGACCCCCGCACTGGGCTCTGCCCGGGACACCCTCGGACTCCCAACTCCCCCCCACCGCGTCCGGTTCGGGGTGCCCCGGGCTTCCCCCTCCCTCCCCCCACCCCACCCCACCCCACCCCACTCCACTCCACTCCACTCCACTCCACTCCACTCCACTCCGGGGATCCCCGCGCGCGAGCCACGCCCCGCCCCGCCCACCTGCGCTCGCCTCCCGTAACCGGAACCCGCGCGGCGCGTGACGGGCGCGGGAAGGGGCCGAGCACGCGCCGGAGGAGGCGGGGCAAGGGGCGGGGCTTAGAGGGTGGGGCGGTGGCGGCGCGCGGCCGGCAGGGGGCAGCAAAGACCGGGCGGGGGGGGCGGGGCGGGAAAAAGCGTGAGGGGAGAAAAGGGAACAGGGCAAAGAAACCCAGGGAAAATGGAAAATGGGGAACCGGGAGACGGAGGAAGGGAAAAACAGGGAAAAACAAACAGGCAGAAAGGAAGAAAAGGCCCAGGAGGGGCACAAGGAAAGGACAGACGGAGGGGTGGGTGGACAGATGGAGGGAGGGATGGGGGAGTTGCACATCTGGCCAGGTGAGTGCACAACTGGGGGTGTGGGTGGGAAAAGAGGGATGGATGGATGGATGGATGGATGGATGGATGGATGGATGGATGGAGATGTAGGTGTGGTGTGAGACAACCAACCCTCAGGGCTGGGGATGGCCATGTTTCAGGGGGTGCCAGGAACACCAGGGTCATCCACATTGCAGGCTGCTGTGGTTCCCTGGCCAAGGGTTCCTGCTGTGGCCACTGTCCCCCAGACTGGAGCCTGGGGCAGGGGCTGTGATGATGCCGGCAGTGTCACCCACTGTGGTGGCAGCTCCCCAGCCCTGATCCCGGCTGCAGGGCTAATCCGCTTTGCCCGCAGGGACCAGATGGTCCCGCTAAGTGGGTCAGGCAGGAGCAGGGGACACCAGGGAGCACTGGGCCCCACTGCGCTTCCCAACAGCTACAAAAAATAATCATCAAGTGGGATGAGGTGAAAGAGGAGTCTGGACATGGCAGAACTGGGAGGACACAGCCCCTGGACTGGCAGCGGGACAGGGCTCAACTACTGCAGAGCATCTGTAGCCTCCTGAGCTGGTGGGGAAGAGCAGCTCCTGGTCTGCAGCCTCTGGGATGAACTTGTCCATGGCACAATTCTTTGTACCCAGCCTGCACCCCTGCCTGCACTTGCCTGCAGTGCTCCCTGCTCCCTGCCCACACTGCTGCCTGCACCAGTCCCTGCACCTCACCTCCTGCCCAGCCCATGCAGGGTTATTTTCCCCTCTCCAGACCAGAAAAGGGCACCAGCTGTCCCGAGAGTGGCCAGCAGCTGCAGTTCCCAGTGCTGGCCCCACCAGCCCACGCTGACCCCACTCTCCCCAGCAGTGGCACTGGTCTCCCCTGCCCCAGAGATCCTTCCCAAACCAGCCCCAGCCCCTGTTCACCATGGCAATGGGGGAACCACAGAGTGGGACCTGACCCCCAGCCCCCCCTGACACCTCAGGGTCCTTCCAAGCTGCCACCATGCACCGCAGCCCATCCCCTCCCTGCTGAACCCTGCTGTGCCAGGGCTAAAAATAAATCCATCAATTTCTAGGAAAGCTCCTTGGAGAGCATGAGCGAGTGGGAGCACATGGCCAGGAGGAGCATGCGTGGTCCAGGGGAAGCAGCACCCTTGGGAGGAGACGGGGGGTCACCAAGCCCCTCCGCATGGCCAGAGCCAGCCCAGGACACATTCCCAGATCCCACGTGAACGTTTTTTTCCCAATCCACTGTTTCCCAGAGCCCCTAGATGAGGGGAAGAGGGGAGTCAAAGCCAGGGCAGCACAGGACCTGCTCGTCCCTGGAGAAATCTCTCCCTTGTTTACCTCAGGGTGGGGAAGGATGTCGGGGGGCTGAGGACAGCATCGCCACCCATTCTGGGGACAAGGCACCTTCGTGACCGGGGTGTAAGGGGCGTCAGCCGTGGGGGCAAAGCTGGAATAGCACCACGGGGTATTTATTTCTGCTCCAAACCCCGCTGTGAGACATCAGCTCCCTCCCCTGCACTGCTCGGCCCCCAGCACATAATTGGGGACAGCTTTGCTGAGCCGCTAAGCTCCCGTTTAAGCAGCTGAGCGCAAGTGGCCGGATTTCCAGCCAGCGCATCCCTCCGGCTGCTCATCCGCCCAGAAATGCCGGGGTGCGGGGCCCTTGGGGGCACAGCCGCCCCGGCTGCCTCGCCCGCTCAGGCATTAACGCCGCCGTCAGCACAGATTAATTCTGCCCTGGACTCCGCGCCGCAGCTGCGACACGAGGCTATGGTGCAGCAGCCCCCGTGTTTTCTGCAGGAGGAGCCTGGTCACATCCAGATCCCAAAGGGAATTTGCAAAGGCTCGCTTAGGGATGGGTCTCCACATCAGGACACGTTTGCGGGGAAATGCGGGAGCTCACCCTTGTGTGGCCGGGCCGGGAGCACCACGGTAGCCGGGGGTGCTGGTGCTCTCCGTGCAGGCTCCACCCGGCCTCTCCCACAGCTATTCCCTTGGGAAGGATTTTGTGAAAAAGGTGGGAGGCTCCACCAGGCTCTCTCCTTAAAAAGCCCCTTTTTATTGCAGGGTGCACGCCCCATCAGCGAGCCCATCTCAACTCCAGGCTGCTGGTGACATCCCTCCAGCTCCTCTTCCAGGCTGTGACTGTCCCAAGCCACTGCGGGGAGTGCTTTCTCCTCGGGTGACACCGTCACCCAATTTCCAAGTTCACGTTTGCGGGGAACAGCGCTGGGATGGAGAGACCAGGCAGGAGGCAGAGCTGTGTGAAGTACTGGTGTGTTTATTGGTTGGCGCTAGATTACAGCCCACACTCTCGGCAAACTGGCATCCACCAATTTAATATTTTCAATTTTTCACTCTTTTAAAGACAGTGATGGCCTCCCTCTCATAAACAAGACAGAAAACCCCTCGTGACAGGGCCCCGCTGCACCAGCCAGTTTCACACATGCAGAGCCCTCTGGCCTTTCTGGGAACACTATAGATGAAAGGTCAGAATCACATAGGGATGTCCTGCACCTGCCAGCCAGGACCGAGCAGGAGAACACCTGCATTATCCAGAGGCTCCGAGACGGAGCCCCAAAGGAAACAGAACATGTTTTCTACTTCACTTGTGGGACTTAGAACAAAGGTGTTGTAAGAATGAGTCAGTAAGAGAAAAAGCATCCATTGCAATATTCCATTTCCAAAGGGCCTTTGCATCTGCAGAGTGTTTCTGCAAACTATGTAATTTATTGTAACCCTCCCATGTAAAGTTCACCAGGAGATTAGAAACATCAAGTGCTGGAGTGAGGAACAGAGATCTGCAGCCAGGACACGAACCCAAAAAGATTATGGGAATTACAAGTACAAAACCATCTCAAATTCACAGGGAATTGAGTATTTCACTTGCAACTCATTGAAAATCACTGCAAATATCAGGCCTATTCTAATCCTAACAAATCAGCAAGTTTGTTCTCTACATCAGTTTTCCTTCTGCAAACTTGCTGACACTTCCCTGTGAAAGCCAGGTGGCAGGAGCAGCACAAGAACCTCCATGAGACATCCTAGCTGACCCCACCACATCCCAACCAACCCCATGGAGAACAACACCCAGGGATCCTCACCAGGCTCTGTGGTTGCCATCAGCTCCTACTCCAGGCCTGCACATTTGGATGACTTGGATCAATATTTGGAAGAGTTCAGAACCCATTTTCCCTCACACCAAGGTCAGTGCCTGGCTCAGTCCCACCCTCAGTCATGGGGGTGAGGTTGAAGGTACCAACTCAGACACAAACCAGAAACAGTCAAAGCCCCGCAGCTCTGACCAGCCATGGGAATTCCTTGTTTTGGGGAGGAATAGAGAAGCCTCAGGCAAACACACGCATGGACAGGAGGCTGGACAATGGGGCCTGGCCATCCATCCCTCAGCTGGGGTCTGGGGTCCCATTCTCCTGATTTGTGGGGACTGCCAGGAGCTCCCCACGTACACAGAGCTCATGGAAGGACTGAGCAGCAAATGCAAAGTGATCATTCCAGATTTTCTGATTTAATGAATATAAAATAGGACACACAGGAAATTCAACAAACACTCTCAGACCTCCCCAGTTTTCTGAGGCAATTCTAGAGCCAATTAATCAAATATAACATCAAAATTCCCATCTTCCCACCAAAAAAACAAACAAACAAAAAAACCCAAAAATACCCCAAAAAAACCCAACTCTATGGACTAGCACCAAAGAGAGATTTATAAATCTCTTAAATACAACTTCAGTTCAGTTTAGTTTCTTTTTCACCAGCTATACCTTAGTTATGTCCAGAGCCCTGACACTATCCCAGCACAGCACTGCAGGATGTCCGCAGCACAGAGCAGCTGGATTAGTTCATTCCAAGGTTAGGAAAATGAGGATCATGCCCTATGTGTGTCAGGGGCTCAGGAAGCAGCTGAGGGACACCCCAGCCATGAGGTCACCACTTCCCTGCAGGGCTGCAGCCACCAGATGATGCCGTGACTGAGCAGGAGAATGGAGCCAGGATGGAAAACCCAGCCTGTGAGCAAGACCAGTGAAGGCACTGAGTCAGGCAGAGGGAAAAGCTCCTCACACTGCAACAGTCACTGCTTGGGGCACGTTTGGTTGAAGATGCAACTCTGATTCCCCCCAGCAGCAGCCACAGGCTCCACTTGGGAGAGTCAAACCCCAAACCAACTCCTCAGCAACCCCCAGTGCTCCCTGTGTACTCCGCACAGGGATGGATGCTGCATCCGGCTGTGTGAAAGCACAAACATGTCCATTTGGGATAAAACACAGGGAACAAGTAGGAAAACCTACAGCTCTTGTACAGGGGGTACTCACTGGACCTTTGCAGCCGCCAGGATTTTGATCCCTGCTCACTGTGGAATGCTGAACACAGCTTCTGCATGGAAAAGCTGAGGCAAAGGCCCAAAGCCCCTGCTAGATCTGGGAAGGGAACTGAGGATTCCTGACATTCCCTACCCACATTTGTAGCCACTGAATACTTTGTGGCCACACAAGGGAAAAAGCAACACTTGCAGATTCCAATCCCTTTTCATTTTTCCGTTTACACAATTTGCTTTAAGGCACATTCCAGCCGAGGGTGAATGAGTTGCCTCGGTGCTCTGCAGGAGAGTAGGGAAGAGCTCACAGCATCCATCTCCACAGGAACAGAGCTGGTGGGAATGCTGATACTGCTGCTCCTTCCAGCCCCCACGGCTGGGGGACCCTGACACGCAGCCCTCATGCTCTGCCTCCTTCTCTATTCCCAGAACACACCCACCTGACTGAGCTGGAAGCAAACCAACCTGAGGAGACTGTCACCATGTCCCTTCCCTGCTGTCACTGCCTCGGTCCTGGGGAGGCTTTACAGCCCAAAGTTTAATGCATTTTCTATTTGAAAAAACTCTTTTTAGTTTGGACAGTGGCTGTTAACTTCACATCCAGGGAATGTTCTGCCTAATGCTGTACCTGGAGAGGTGAATGCCAACGGCTCAGAATTCCCAGTGCCATGACAGTTCTGAGCTGGGGTGTGTTGGCCCTGCTGACCACACGGAGCACGGACAGCTCGGTCAGCGCTGCTGGGAAGCGGCAACACTTCCCTGAGACAGGGGGAGGCACAGCTGTGACACTGAGCTTCCAACAAACCACTCAAACAATCCATCTTTGGGAAGCCACCAGAGGTACCTTAAGATCACTGAATTCCAGATTTCAGGGAGAATGAGAAAAAACCCTCCCTGCTTTCACTCTTCTCTCCTAGGAAAAGGCAGCACCTCCTAGGCCCAGCAGTGACCCAGACATGCAGCACGCACCCCACAGCAGGGAAATCCCCCAGTCCCCACCTGGGGCTCACCACTCTAAACTGCAAAAGGGTTCCTCCCTCTGAAATGTGCCTTTGAACAACCTCTGCGTGAGTGGAGCCACATCTGAAACCCAAACCCACCCAACAGCAATCACCTCAGCCAAGGTGCTGTGTGGCTCCTGCCACACGCCATTTACAAGCTGCTGATCACCAAAGAACCAAAATCCCTTTTCCACCACAAGAGAGACTCCCCAAAGCCAGAGCCATACAATTCCAGCTCTGCTGGGTTTCATAACACTCAGCTCTCTCTGCAGGGGGATGTCCACCCGCTTTACACATCATGTAAGACCACTGCAGAGGTTTGGGATCTGACAAATCCTGCTGGAAGGATCGAGCAGCACTTGGACACACGGGTACTCCAGGGGTGTCTTCCTTTTCTCCTGTTCCCATGCTGGAGTCACCAAACTGGTGCAGAGCTCCCTGCCCCTCACAGGTGTACCGAGAGCGCAGTGCCCTTGGCCCACAAGCACAGGAATGGAAAGAGGCAAGGGAAGAAGGGACCCCATTAGTGATGTCACTGTGCCCCTAAGGAGCTGCAGAGGGACCCTCCAGGGCCCCAAGGTGATGAAGAGCAGCAGATCCTCCTCACCTGCACCCTGCTCATACCCCAAACCAGCATTCAAGACCTGCAGTGATGGTGGGACCAGGCAACTGCCAAGGACAGCCTGTGTGGTACCCAACACCTAGCAGTGCCCAGAGAGCACAGCCAGGCAAGGAGCCAGCTCAGAACTGTTCCCTCGGGCTGCTGAGACACAGAGTGACGCTCCATGTATGGGCCAGGCCAGATGAGGCCAGAATCCTGCTACCAAACACCAGCAGCTTGAACAGCACCAGTTTTAGCATGGCTGGGAGCCCCAGGACATGCTTGGAACAGTGGCCCCAGCACTGAGACTGAGCAGCAGAACCACAGCCACCCTCCCAGCAGCTCCCCTGTGCCTCACACACATAGTCCCAAACCAATTAACACCAGTTTAGATAAAACCACTCCAGCTGCTGGGGGTGCAGCTGTACCAGCTCTAGAGAGAACCTCAGATGCTGAGGAAGACGGGAATTGTGTGTTACAGGGAGAGGTTCAGGGAGCACAGGGCTCAGGCCTGGTCTGAAATCTGCATCTCTTCAGTCAAGGCTATTCCTGCCCCAGGAGCCATTTCCAGTTACAAGGCATAACATTAGCCACTCCTTGGTAACAGCATCAATCCATGCCACATTAAAACACTTTCTTGGCACAATTTATTTTTTCTGACCCAAACAAATAAGCCATTAGCAAGTCATTAACAATATTCTACCCTAAACTGTCAGTTTAACAGCCCTGTAAAAACATTTTTAGTTTAAAAACGAAAGTGTGCATGCTGCTGATATTAAAACTGCAGTTACTCTTTGAGGAGTACCAGCTGTTTTGTTGCAAAGCATTTCCAACATACTAATCTGTACAGTAGAGACCAAGACTCATTGAAGGCAGTAGATGGCTGTGTCAGGTGCCTCGCAGGGCGCGGGGACAGCGACTCTGGGAATTTCTTGGACACTTCCAGATAGAATATTCAAGCCCTTTTGAGAGTTTGGTTCAGGCTGACCAGCACATAGTGAGAAAGGATTGTACATTCGTCTCTAAGTTGAAGTGAGCTGAACTGGTGTAATTTAGGCTCAATTCCAGACGCTTGGGTTTGAGCTACTCCTTGAATAATGGGCTGTTCCTTACGCGTGGTTTTCCATGTCAGCGATCACTGGCACTGCTTTTGGCCTTGCTACTCCACACCGATGAAAGCAGGGAGAACAAGGAAAGGAACAGAAGAGGATCTTAAAATGAACAGCTTCTTGCCAAACCAGCAAGGATACCATTCCCCCTTGTCCCTGGCTCCATGGATATTTCTATCAGATTTTCATATTGTAAGCGCTTCTCAGGAAGAGAGAAAACTCCAGAACAGTGAGTGTTTATTAGAATATTTTTTTGTTAAATAAAGAGCAGGAAAAAAAAAAAGGAAAAAAAAAAAAGAAAAAAAAAAAGTACTGCAGATTTAATTTCACATCTTGGCTCTGCTCTGACAAAGGAGAAGTTACTGAACTCAGCAACCACTTCTTGTCCCAAGCCAGGGATTAATTAATGCCCCTCCCAAAACTTGTACCTGTCCCAACCCACCCCCAACCCCAACCCTTCCCATTTTATTTCCCAGATAGACAACACTGTTGGCAAATCAAGACAGCATGAAACTTACAGCAATAAAACAACAAACCCCCGTGTGAAGTGTGCCAATGCATCAGGGAGCTCTCCTGTGCCGCTCCCCCGGGAATGCTGCCTGCGGGAGGCAGCTGTACCTTTCATGGAGAGCACACTTTGAGCTCACTCCACGGTGCAACCCTAAGTGCTGCAGAACCACAGGACAAGAGACCGAACACCTGAATTTTCCCCCCGGGACTTCTCTTTAGGGATGTGCGCATGGTTTCTCCGGGAACAGCGGCGACACTCGGCGAGCACGATCCGATGCTTCAGCACAAACCCCAGGTGTCCAGTTCAGCATGGCGTAAGGCATGTGGACAAGAGAGACATGAGCAGGACGCAGCGGGAGCAGGGGACAGTGTTGGTGAGCCACACTGCAGTGTGTCCGTCCGACCCCCCCACATCCCCGGCTCCCGTGACCCGGGCGCCATTGCAGCGCTGCTGAGGCTGTTTGGTTTTGGCCGGCGGTTCCAGAGCAGCGCCGTGAGGTTTCGCTCGGATGGAAACGCAGAAATGTTGGTGGAAGCTGTCGGAGAAGCCGCAGGGATGTCTGCAGGGATATCTGCAGGTGATCCGAACTCTGCCCTCAACTTCAAATGTCACTGCACTAAATTGGGAGATACTGGATGGGGAGTAAACTGGCCCAGCCACTAGTACTGTCACAGAATGTGTGTTTTTAAAAAACAGAACAAAAGGCAAACAGATTAATTATGAATCCTTCTTTTCAGAAGCAGACCAGGATTTAAAAAAAAAAAATTCCCAAAAAATTAAAATGTTAGATCCTCCATCTAAAAAAAAGTTTATACAGATGCGCTGCGAGTGATCCCCACATGGGTCTGAGCAGCACCTTACAGTACAGACTAAGACTTGAAGAGCTGATCTCACATTAGAAGTCTTTTAATTTAACAAAAAGAAAAAAAAAAGTGGCTCTGGCTGGGGTGACACAAAGGGGACACTTGGGACACTTCAGAGTACAAGGCAGAGGCGGGGCTGGCAGCCTCCAAGCCGTGGAGCGGAGTACCAGGAAAGGGGCACTTCATGCACAAAATGTATTTTACAAAATACAGATCCAAAAAAGAAAAAAAAAAACAAAAAGCAAAAAAAGCCAACCAAAAAAAACCAAAAACAACCAAAAACATCATCCCACCTTGCACTAAATTGCAGCACTCTGAACACTTGCTCTGCCCCAGGCGGCTGCCCATGCCTGGTGTGAGGGAGGAGGCATGGAAACGGGGAGGGGAGGGAAATCCAGGTCTCAGTCTGCTTTTGGGAATTGCTCTCGCAGGGACGTCGTCAGTCATCTGATGTCGGACACGGAGCTCTCGGAGTACGGCGTGGTCATGACTGGGGTGCCGTTGTTGGCCAGACAGCCTTGCCTCAAGGTCTCAAAATACGAGGCCTGCACCGGTTTATGATACTGCAGAACTTTTATGGCATCTTCTATCTTAAACCATTCCCTTTTCCTTCCTGGGGGCAAAGAGAGAAATCAGTAGGTGCAACAGAATGATGTACTCTGATCTCAAGGGCCTCCCCCTCCAACCCCACACTGACACCATCTCCAGGGACAGGTGTTTGTTTAGGGCAATACATCCCCTGTCTTGCATTTCTTAATTAAAAAAAAAAAAAATTACTATTTTGCTATTTCTGAAATTTCTATTCAAACCACATGCTCATTTTACGACAACTCACAACACGCACACCAAGCAGCACCCAATTTCCATCAGTTTACAAGTGGACTTCAGTTTCATGTGGACAGTTCTCAGTCCTTACTCTTTCCATAAAGAGCTTAAGGAGAGTCCTGTTCCATTTGCTGAAATGCCATCACAAACCTTGTGGCAACAACAGGTTCATTTCCATTTGGGCATCCAATTTAAATGCAAAGATTTCAAAGATAACAGGGAATGATTAACCCACACTGCCCACATGCATTTCCTCTAGTCTCAGACAGGACAGTTCTTCATGCTGTTATAGTTACGTATTATATTGTTGGCTTTTCGCAAGTATTAAAATGAATGGTACGAGTACAAGAATGGGAAATTTTGTTGTATTAACATAGTTTCCTTTATTTCTGTTAGAAATAGTGGTATAATATATGTATGTTAAGCTATGACATAGCATTAAAACAAAAACTACTTTTGTCTGTATAACCCAAACACTGAAAAAGATAGCTGGAGACCCTTTTTTTTTCTTTTGTAAACTATCTTATCCAGATGAAGACAGCAGTGACCAGAACTCTGGGAGGAGGAATTTATTGCATTTCTGGTATCAGGGAATGTAAATCTCGATGGCGCCAAGAAGATTGATCTATTGGGAAGGGGGCAAGAGAAAACTAAACAGAAGAACACCAAAGATCCTAAGAAGAATGTATGAATATGTATGAGAATTTATGGATATGTAGTAGGGTTCTGTTTTTAAGGGACAATCCTTTGTCAGTAAGGTGTGCTCTCTTGGCTGAATGCAGACACACCCGGCCCTATTTGTATACTTTATTTTTTTCTCCTAATTGTTTTTTTAATTAAACTTTTAAATTCTATAAAAATTATGTGAACCTCATTTTTCACAATGCTCTTTGCTTGGTACCTTCCAGTGCAAGAATTAAACACAAAATTGCTGCAGAGGCAGCTGGACACTTACTTGGCTTCACCTGGGCCACACAGGTGACAAAAGCATCAATTTCATGACAAATTTTTTTCCTAAGCAACCAAAGGACACAACACTGCAACTTTTCCCAATGACACTCACACAGACTCCGGGTCCCAGAGAGATGCTGAGCTGACTTTGTTTCCATCAGTTAATGCAGCAAGCACCAAGCTTACCAATATTGACAGAGTCCTCCCAGTCCTCCAACACTTCGGTGACGATGAGTACATAAACATATGTCCTGTGCTTCCTGTCCCGGTTCTGCAAGGCAAAGGGGACAGAGTAACAACCACCCAACAGCAACAACAAACCTTTCTAGGCAGGAGGGCACTGGGCCACTGCAAGATGCAAACTGCCTATCTTGGGTGCAGCTCCTCCCACAGCACAACTCATATACTAAAGCTAAGAATTGTTAAATTAAGACATGGCTGTGTTTTAAATCAGAGAGGTCTGAAAGTGTTAATAGGAACACCCAAAAGTGTAGCTCCTGATCTGTGGAGCAGTGGTTTGTGGACTGATGTGTTTACAAATTAGCTCTTCAGCTGGGAAGGCTCTGACCTATTTCACATGAGTTTGATGGAGTCAGTGACAGAACAACAGCAAGAAGAGCTGTGTCTGCTACCTGCCAACTGTGCCAGGTGTGGCTGTGAGTGTTAAAAATAAAGGAGGGACCCCACTCCCCAGCTTTTGGCAGCACCAAGAATATTCAGCCACAACAGTTATCACCATCATTTCACTCAAGTGCCCATTGCAAAGATCAGAATTGCTGAGTGGGTTTGTTTGTATCTACCAGGGACCTTTGCACCAAACCCACACCTGCTCGCTCCACAACCCTGCAGTTACTCCAAGATGATTTTTTTGCAACAAAATTTCACATCACCCATGTCTGAAACTTACCTCAAAAATTCCCACTAATCTTCCTAACGTCCCTTTCACTCCAGCCTAGGGAAGTTCAAAGAGAAAAGAAACAAGCTTTAACAACAGCTCAGTACATGTTTCCTACTTATTGTGCAGGACCAGTTCCTTTAGAACAGGAAGCAAACGCTCTAAAATTCTGCTCCTCTTAAACCAACACAGTCACAAGGCAAAAGACAGAAATGTTTGCTGAGCACTCAATACCCAAGCGTTCCCAGGGCTTTTTTTCTTGTTTTCCTACATTCAAACAATTTTGAATTCAATCTGAAGGAAGAAGAAATATTTGAGGAGTTACTCCTTGCATACCAATACAGTCCTCGTGACCAGAATCTCCTCTGCAGGTTATTACAGCCTGAACACAGGGATCATTGGCTTTGGGGTTTGGCAGTTTTACCCCTTCAAAATCAGAGTTTAAGGAAATAAAGTATGTGCAAGACATTCATACCCCAAGAGGGACGTGACAGCTCCCAGGTATTTCAGGGGTGTCCTGCACACACCTGAAGCAAGCCAATATAAACACAAAATGCTGTGATGTGGCCCCAGCAGCAGGAACAAGAGAGGTTTGGATTTAACACAAAGGACAGATGCACACTGAAATAAAGCTTTTGAATTAAGCAGAGACACAAATCAAGAGATCTAAGCAACAGTTTTGTTTGAATACTACTGAGGATATACCACTCCATCACATTTGGAGTCCCTTTTGGTACCTTTCTGCTGGCTCCCTCCTGCCCCCCTCAGCTCTCCATGCAAAATCCCAGCCCATTCTCCTGTCTCATTGCATTATATTCCCTCCGTTTTATGACTGTAAACTGGTTGGAACTCAAGTGCTACAGACAAGATGAGATCTTGCTCCATGATTTAACAGGTCTGAACCTGCCCACACAGCCTGGCACATGACCCAGCCACAACTGGGAGGTAGAGTCGGCTCCGTCTCTGGCAGCTGGAACACATTCCATGAACAGCCCAGGGAAACTGCCTCTTGCAGATGAGATACAGAGATATGATTATGCCAGGCTTCTCTTTTTTTTTAAAAAAAAGATGTCTGAGTCACATTAATGATAAGGCAAATTCTCTGTCCTACTGACCAGCTGCTGCACAGTCACGTGCTGTCAGAAAAGGAAGGACTTTCTTTAATGAGACAATTTTCCTGGTTAAGTTCCAGCCTACTGCATGAACAGGTACCAAACAATCCAGGCAGAGCACACCTCACTCCTGCTTCCAAATGGTGCTGATGTGGAACTGCTCCAGGACCAAAAGGTTTGGAGCTGCAGTCACAGAAATCCATAAATCCTTTTGGTAACACACTCACTGAGCTCTACTTCTAGGAAGTGAATCAACTGAATCCTCTACTTCATTTTGGGACACAAGCTTTATTGTCTCACCAATACTTGTAACATCCTGCTCAGCCCAGAGGTGCCTCACCCACTGTGACTCTGGGGGCCATTCTGGAGCAACAACTCCATGAAGGAGCAGCAATTCCATGAAGGAGCAGCAATTCCATGAAGGAGCAGCAACTCCATGAAGGAGCAGCAGTTCCATGAAGGTCGGTGCCCACGTGCACAGGACAGGCCGGGCAGAGCCTGCCTGACCTTTGCGGCCAAGTGATTCCACCTCTTCTGCCAACCCTGCTGACCTGGGCTCAGCCTTCTCCATGCAAATGGAGACATGCAAATGTTTCAAATGCATTTCCCTCAAGGAACTCCTTCAGCACTGGGATTTATTTTTAGCTAAGCCACGTTCAACAGGCAGCAATAACACAGGGAGGAACTGGAGGCTTCCACCTTCACAACATACGGACATGAATGCATTAAGAGGTGAAGCACAATCAAATATTTCTGGAAAATAACTGTCTTAAGCCAATACTTCACTAGTTCCTGGAAAAGGCTTTGAATTTCTGCTCTCCCTACTTGTAGGCACTGAATCAGAAGCCAGGGATTTTATTGTGATGGTTTAGTGAACTCTCAAGTCTGACTAGAAATAAATTTATCTCCAGGCAACTGGCCAACTTGGAGAAGAAGGATGAATTCTGCTCAAGCAGCCTCCCAGGCAGTTTATCCCGGCTCTAGAACTGTGCTGGAAGTAGCAGAGGGAGGTGAGGAGCCCTTCCTTCTGTGCTGGTAAAGAGAGATGATGGAAATAATGCTGTCTGCAAACCAGGATCCTCCTGCTCTGTCCTGCCTGATCCTATTTGTCCAAGAAGGCACAAAAAACAATGCCAAGACCAACATGTCTTGTAGAAAAATCATGTTGAATTATCATCAGACAACTGGAGAAAGCTCTAGGCTTTGCTTCATGCACGTACTTCTCATGTACAGTTGTAAATGGTGACATAAAAGAATTGTTTGGTTAAAAATAAAACACATTGGGCTGATATTATAAAGCAAGTTCTTACCAGAGCCTGCAAAACACATCAGCCACTGCTCCTGGGGGCCAGTTTTCCAGGTACAGTGGATTTTAAAGACAACATACAGGACACCCAACACCAACAGGATTGTCATACTCCTGTTTTTGATAGAGCACTAAATTCCCACACCAGCAGGAGAGTTGGTCTCTACAATGGAACAAACAAGCATGCAAGTGGAATTCAGAGTCTCACATAAATTTCTAAGATAGAAGTTGCCGAAGACACCTGAAGAAATAACCTACAGCTGTTACCACTAACAGATCAAGCTTGGTAACCAGCAAGGAAACTGCCAAGCTCCTCTCTGGGCAAGCTCCCACCTCCTCCTTTCATATGGGCCATGAGCATTTTCTTGGAGAGTTAAAGCACAGTCCCAGGCTCACCCAGGACTGCAGCAGGGTCTCAATCTTAATTTGCAGCAGACTACTCAGGAATTTTCTCCTTGATAGTAAATGAATTAAGAATGTTGTGCTGTCCTGGGCCAGAACAGTGAGTGAGGCAGAGGCAGCGCAATTCATTTTGTGCCCCTCTAAGCACTGGAAGTGCTACAATCCTCAAAGTACAAAGAAGGATCCCAGGAGGATCCCAGGAGGATGCTCCTGAACCCATCAGCAGGGATAGGAGAGCACCAGCACCAACTGTTCCAGCTGCAGGTGTGGAAACAAAGCGAGGCAATCACGCGACAGGATTCCCTGGGAGAGGTACACTCAGGTACAAGAGGATACACAGTGCTGGCAAAATGAGCTTTTTCCCTGCTCTGCTGATCTAAATCAGTGTCCAGGGTCCAGGACAGGAGGAAAAGGCAGCTCTGGCAAGAGCAGATCAGCCACAGATGCTGCCAGAGCCAGCTGCCCAGCACACACTTCAAACCCCCAGTGCACCCAGAGGGGTGGGAGCTCAGGACAAGGAACAGAAACCTGGAGGAAATGAAGCTTTACTAGTTCCGCTGCTCATGGAACAACTTGTTTTAATAAAGAAAAATTACTGAAGACATCCAAGAACAGCAGGTTCAGGTTTCAAAGCTGAAAATAAGTTGAGGTCAGATGCAAAAAGCAGCCTGCAGCAACACCATCTGTTCCTCGGGACAGCTTTTATTTCCTTCCATCTGAGCTAAGGAAAATGTGTGTTGGAATTTCAGCTATTTTACTTTGCTCTATTAGGCTCAAAGCCTGCATCTACTACAGATTACTGCTGGGTAAGAGGACTGTGGTGGAACACCCAAATCTTTGCTCCAAGACCTGCACTACTGAAGGTGCAAATCCCACCCAGGAGGGCTATGGACTCGTTTTTGAAGGATGCTGATTCCACACCAGCTGGGCAAACTTGGCCGTCTCAGAGAGGATCAGACTCATTCATCTAATTCTGTACTGCATGACACCTTTATTTGCTTCTACACTTGTGAAACAGAAATGAAATTCCATGTCAGAGTGAAGAACTTTCAGACACTGCACTCATTTTTGTGAAGTCTGAGCACAGGCTAAGGGACAGTGACTTTGAGCCACTTGCACTGGGTATAACTAACTAGGAGGAGTTCAAGGCCATCATCTCGTCATTCATCTGTGGGCCCTGCAGTACTTTTAAAAAAAAAATCTTCCTAATTCAGCACTGAAATATATCAATATCTGTGTTCTAAATCACTAACAAAATACATGAAACAGGAAAGATCATCTATAAAGCATGTTTCGAAGAGGGGAAAAAACTGTTTCAGCAACCAGATCAAAGTACTGCCATGATGGACTATTCTTGACATTAGCACCAATTGCCTGTTTGATCACAGATCAAGCACAGATTATCTGGCTTTTGACTCCCATGAAGAAAGCACAACTAACACTCCCGCAGTGTTATAAAATATGACATTTACTAAGTATTTAAAGGTCAGGATGTGAAGAACGCTCTAAGTGAAAAATTAACTGGTGCTGAGTTTCACAGATGAGTGTGGAGGCTTTTTTCAAAGTCACTCTATAATAAGTTTAAGGCATCTATTTCTAAACCATGATGTTCACCAGTTGCTCACACCCAAAAAACCCCCTTATTCCTAAGCAAAAAACAGTCCATGAGCAACAAGACCTGTTTGAAAAGGGCACACACCTTCCACAAGGTGAACTATAGAACACAAGTGGAGTTCCCAGCTCTGTAAGACTGACTAGAGCACTTCTCAGCAACCTGTCAGAAATAAGAGGGTTTATTCTGAAGAGGCTGCCTCTGACCCAGAGCTGCTGTGTGTCTGCTGTCACTCTGCATGAACAATGCCCAACGACTCCAGTCACTTCCAATTTCATGCAGACAACAGCGAGCATGACAAGTGTTGGTACCTGTCTACTTTAATACCTGTGCTGGTACAGACTAATATAGATAAGGACTACCTCCAACTAGGACAAGGACTTGAACTCAGACTGGGACAGAGGGATCACAGCCCTCACTCAGAATCAACATTTCATTTTTGGAACAGAAAGAAGGAAAAGTTAGGTAACTTTAGATGACAATTATTCCAGCATGGCTAACGTGGATAAACCCAAACACATACACAGTAAAATTAAAATAGGGAAAGCAGAAGTTATAATGTTCATTTAGGGAAGCATGTTTTGAAAAAAAAAAATGCACACCATGCAAAAGATAATGAATTGAGAAGAGACAGCCTATTGTCATCCTCAAAAGATACAAGCAACGGGAAGGATCACAAGTTCTTATGGCTCTTCCAACCGGCTCTTGTTAAAAATTGGAAAAGGCATAGCAAAGGCAAGGAAAGAAACCCCACACATTTCTCCCACAGTTTTGAGCAGCATTGTTCATTGACATGGGGGAAACTAATTTTCCCTCTCCCACCTTGAGAGACAGACTTGTTGAGCAACAGACTGGAACTGCTCAGCTAATCTGTGTCCCCACAAGCGGCTGTCCCAGGAGAGAGGCAAAGACCTCAGACCTACTCAGAAATCAGCCTGAGCTCCAACCGACCCCAAAACACCTGGATTCACATGGAAGGGAGAACAAGGGCTACCAGCAGCCTCCTGAAGGCCTTTCTGCCAAACCAACAGCATGAACTGGGAAGGTGGGTGCTCCTGTCTCTCCCAACACTCCTGCTGTGCTCCAGCAACGGCCCCTGCAGGAATCAAACAGCTCCCAGAACTCGAGGCCGGGGATGTGGGGGATAATTCTGTGTGCAGATTCTCAGCAGCATACCCCATCTGGACAAAGCTCTACACCCCTACAGCTCTGCCAGCACCACTCGCAGCTGCAGGGCACTCATGTCAGACAGCTCCGTGCCAGCTCCTCCACCTGCACTGCCCAGGTGAGCTGGGGGTGCCCAGGTGAGCAAGGGCTGCCCAGGTGAGTCAGGGGTGCCCAGGTGATTCCTGGGTGCTCCCAGCACTCTGAGCTGCCTCTGTTCCGTGTTGGGAGCAGCCGGGCAGAGGTGCCTTGCTGGGCAGAGCTCACCCTGCCAGGCTGCCAGGGCTTGAGTTAACACTGGCAGCGGGCACAGCTCCACGTGAGCAGGGAACACCAGCCGAGGAGCGGGATTATCTCAGCCAGCCCAAACCAGTTCCTGCGCGGCCTGAGCCGTGCCAGGGCTCCCTTCCAGCCAGCACTGTCATGGAAAGAGCACAGTTCTCCCAGGGCGCTACTGCCTGCACAGGGAGTGCCCCATCACGTTTATTTTAAGGGTTGAGAGGCAAAGCTCTGCACCTTCTGAATGAATCCTGGACTTCTGTATCAAATCACTTCATTATTAATAAGGCTTGGGCTGAAAAGCAGGAGTCTGCAGCTAAAAATATTTCTATTGTTCTGGTTACACTCACTTTAGCTTGTAAAGTAGCTGAAAGGTTGCTGAGTTACTGGAAAAGCAGGAGCAGGGTTACAAGCTGGAAATAAAATTTGCAAGCAGCACTTCCCGGTATTAGAGAGACCTAAAGACACTTCAAAAAATAAACATTGACTGTATAATCTCTTTCTGATAAACTGCTAGATTATAAAAACATGCAAAGAGAAGCATGCAATCTGCCACATTTGGTTAGTCCAGCAGTCTGAATATTCAGTTTGGTTAGATAGCAGCAGGTACTACCAAATAATTCAGGAAGAAACCTGCATATACCAGACAATTCAATAAAGCAGGTACAGAAGAAGCTTCCTCCCAAGTCCCATCAATTAGCTCTTCCTTTCTGTTCTGCACAGAGCCCAAAGATTTATAACCCTCTCAAAAGCATTTTTAATCCTGCCTTATGTAACTGTGAACCTACTTGGCCGTTCCATCTATAATCATGCAATCATTTCTGAACCCAAGCATCTCCCCAACTGGTTCATATTCAGAAGCACATCCTAAAGACATGTTTTACATACACTGCAGTCAACTGCCATTCGCTGCCTTTATACTTCTTACAATGAAAAAAAATTGCTCTTCCAGCTTTAAGAGAAAAACGTGCTTTCTCCCTACAGCCCATTGATCTGTGTTTGATCTCCTGTTTGATCTCCCTCCTGAAACAGCTTCGAGCAAAAAAGAGAAAACAAACCAACCAACCCATGCACACTTTAGGAATTGCTGCTGGTAACTTACAGCCAATTTCACTTATTCACATAAACCTCAGTATGTATTCTAAACCAAAACATACTTAGATCCCTATGTTTGGAGTGCTTTTAGTGTCTCCTATGGGTTTATTTCTACCTTCTACCCAATTACTAGACAGGTCCACAAAGGCACAACTGAATTTTAAAGTTCTCTTACAGAGAAAATGAAGCAGAGACTATACATACATTGAAGTGACTAGAGCTGAACTTTATTTTCAGCTAAAGGTATCAGGGAAGGACAAATTCATTCCAGCTGAGAGGTTTAATAACATTCCTGTGTTCTCTTTATTTAGAACTCCGTTTGTTCTCCCATGTGGGATGGGGATATCACCAGTGACCCTGTCTCCCTCTCCACCTCAAGGAGAAGAAGGAAGAGCAATGAAAACAAACCCACAGAACCCGGGCTAACAGGGCAGGGTGAAGCCACTCACCTCTTCACAGACCTCACGCACAGCGGCCACGCCAGGCTCCTCCTCGGGCTCCATGCCACCCCCGGGGACAATCCATCGGTCCGGATGGCGACTACTGCTCACCAGCAGCACCTGTGGAGAGCAGAGCACAGCTGATGGGGCACCCCCAGCTGAAGGGCAGAGATTGTCTTCATGCCTCACACCCCCCCGGACACAACCCACCCAAGGCAAGGCCTTGCCACTGCTCACTTTTCCCTCAGTCCCACGCACATAGTCGTGGAAATTGTGACAGTGAGGCACTGCCACACTCTGTGTCACTTCAGCCACTGCCTCTCCCTCCTCTGATGCATTGTAGGAAAAACTGTCCTTGCACACCAAAAAATTCATTAGCACTGGACACAGCATCACACAGTGTGAATTCACTGCAGGGTCCTCGCAGCTTGGGATACACCTCAGGCAACAACAGAAATGCACAGATGCTGCTCAGCACCTCCACCCTTTGCAAAAGTACCTTGATTTAATTATCCTGGTGCCTTTGGCCTTGCCTGTCCCTGCAGCTCTGTCACTAACAACACATACACGTCCGGGAACTCCCACTGCACTGTTTATGTGAAATTGTCTGAGCACAAATTCTCAGCCCCACTGTTTGTCACTTCTTTTGCAGTAGACACTGAGGAGTTCAGCTCTGGAGCCAGCACTTGGCTACTTTTGGTTTAGAGGAGGTTGTTCAATGAGGTATAAGCAAAATAAAAGCCTATATTGAACCTATTAAACTTAAAACCCCCTACTAAAGGGCTGCACTGAAGGGCAGACATTTGTGAATGAGAAAAATGGTTCAACCCTCTTCCCAGGAGGGATTTGCCATATCCATGCTTTGTGGCAGGTTTTCTTGAAAGAGTATTTTTTATTCCAGGGTAATTCTGCTCTGTAGAAGTTCAGGTTCTGATTTGCCACCTCCCAGCAAGACAAACTCTAACTAACACTCTCAACTGGCTACAGACTGTCCCAAAGAACACCGAGACACTGTGCTTATTAAATCTACTTGCAACACATCCATGAGCAGAGATGGAAACTTAAAACAACACTAATACTGTTGTCCAACTCTCTAAACAAAGCTCGTTCATTAGAGTCATCCTGCTGTACTTCATCATTTCACTGGCACAAAACTCAGAGCCAAAGAGACTTGCTCCAGAAACTTTCCAACATACCAGTCCAATTAGGTTCCAGGCCAGCTGTAACAGTGTCAGACATTTGGGAGTTGCACTGTAGAGACACTGAAATCCCAGGCTTTACTGGGGAAACAGTGATTTGCCAGTAGGATATGAAAATATTTGCACTAATTACCCAAAGGAATCTACCTACAGAACTCAAAATAAAACTTCCAAAACAAAAACAAGCACAAGATTTCCAGGGTTTTTCAGTTGGTTTATCCTGAAAATTCTCATCTGCCAACTGACCAAACTCATATTGGAAACAAATGAAGCTGCATGGGCCACCTCAGTTCCACAGTTCCACAGTTCCAAGTGGGATGGTTCCTGCCCCGTCCTCTGGCCAGGCTGTGACAGAACAGGGTTTGCTTTACAGTGATATCCCAAGTATTTGGTCCTCTCCAAGAGGAAGGCAGAATTCCTTTCACTCAGGCATCCAGTCCATGTAAAACACCACCAGAAAGCCATGCCTAAATAGGGAATGTAAACTTCATTCATCCTCAGAGCCCTTGGGAAAGAAGCCAGTCCCTGCCAGGCCATCCCCAGCCACCTCAGTTTGCCACGGTGCCTCTTCCTAGCACAGTACTTGACTTCTACTCCATCCTCACTCATCATCCAGAAGAGCCTGGACTCAAATTCCTGACTCCAGGTCAGTTGGTGATTCTGAGGACAAAGCTAAGAGCAGGAACAGCCATTTCAAGTGCACCTTTGTTGCCAGGTAAGGAAGCACCAGCTCTGCCACTTCCCATTGCAATTCAGAGCTCCAGCTCAAGGGGAAAAAAAGCAGAAAAATATTAAAAAGCTGCAGAACTAGATCTTTGAAACTCAGCACAGCACATCTCACACCCCTGAACTCCTGCCACCTTCCAGGCGTGAGAACGAGGATCTGCTATGGACACAGACTGCTCCAGGAAACCTGTTCAGGCTGAGACAATGCCTCAGCAACACACCAGGAGGAACTTCTGGGTGTAAACAATGGTTTGAGGCAAAGCAAATTAACTTCAGCTGCTCTGGCAGTTGAGCATTTTCTGAATAGAACTAACATGAACAACCCTTGCTGGGAAGGAAAAACCTGTCATTCTCACACTTTTATGTAATCAGACTATTTCCTGTTTAATAAAAAGGAAATCCCATCAAGAGAGTGTAGGAAACAAGCCCTACAAGGTCATTCTTTTAAAACAACTTCAAACAGGATATTGCTACCAATGAGCTCTCCCAAGACAAAGGGGCTGAGTTCCAAACAAGGGGGAGACACTGCTGCGTTGAAAAAAAACCCCACATTTCCAACACCAGTCCTGCCTGGATCCTGACACATGCAACGCATTCAGAGGGATCAAGGAAAAAGTTGTCATCTGAATCCCAAGAGGGTATGGGTTGGAAGGGACCTTGAAGTCCATCACATTCCACCCCCTACTACCTTCCAGTAGACCAGCCCAAGGTACAGCTGGCTTTTTAGCTCATTAACTTCTTTATTACATAAATAACATTTATTTTAGTGCATTTTAAGTAGTTAATTTAATCTAAATAGCCATCAAAAAATAAACCAAAATTTACTTATTTTTTTTAATCAGACTAAAACACGTAGGAAAGTCAGACATTTCCATTTTCTCCTTTCCAGGCAACTGTGTTTAAAATGGCAACTGAGACTCTTGGCCTGACAGGCATTTTCGAGCCACATCCTGCAGACTTTTTGGAAAAGCATTTGCAGGTAACACGTCACATGGCCAAGTTGTGTTTTCCAGGATTTCAAAGACAATTATGTCATTTCAAAGCAGGGAAATGAGCAACACAAGCCTCTCTGGCAAGACAGGAGGTGGCCCTGCTGAAACTCTCCCACACAATCCCCCACAAAAGAGAAAGTTTAGAAAAATAAGCTAAGTTTGAAGTGTGCAGCAGGGGCTCAAAGCAGAGCCTCATGGCAAGAACCTTCAAAGCTGCACACAACAAACAAATCCAAACAAACCTGAGCTGTACTAACCCCGCCTAGAGGAGACAGGAAACACACCAAGACATCTAAGGCTGCCCCGCCAGCCACATGGAATAAGGAGCTCCATGGGAAAAAGGGTGAAGAGTTTGTCCTCAGGATAAATCTGGGCATCCCCGATATACAACACTGACTTTAAAACAACCTACACAAACCTGCTGTATCCACATGGAGGGATTTTTCTGTCTTTTTTTTTTTTTTTTTTTTTTTTTCAGAAATAACGGGGCTCTGCAAAGCAAAAACTAGGCAACCAGGATCAGGCAGAGAATTAACTCCCCATTTGTGGAACAGAGGAGAGATTCCCAGGTTCTTCCATGCTACGGTGGATTGAAACAACATCCAACACCCATGAATAAAACAAGAGCAGCTACACCATAAGGAACACAATTCCTCGAAAGAGGCCCTGCAGCAGCATTTGGGCAGACAGAAAGGGCCACAGCCCTGAGAGAAGCTGGGCCACAGCTTGAGTAGAAAATGAGCTGAGAACCTTCCAGACTTCCAGGAAAAGGCAGTGCTACCCACCTGTGCCAGCTGGGGCCCAACAAGCTGGCAGCCAACACAGGGAACAGCAGGCAAGATATTAAATCCAGGGTCTGGCCCAGCAGCCTTCTGCTGCCAGGAGCTGATCCATAGCTGCTGGCTCCTGACACAGCCTCTGCACTGCCTTACAGGCTTCCCCTCAATATTTTCAGGCTTTCCCTCAATATTGACATGCTTTCTAGCAATACTGTCGTGCTTTCTACCAACATTAAGCCATAAATCACATCGTTTGCACAGTGACTGAAGCACAAACCTCCCGGCAGTGCACCTCATTTCCCACTCTAGCACCATTTATCAGAGTACAGCCTGCAAGGAAACACTGCTGCAGAGGCTGCAGGAGCTGAGAGAAGATGGCTGACTGCAAGGCTTTTGCTGTTCAATCTGCCTTTGTCTCAAAGTTTCAGTTTAAAAAGAATGTGTTTTCAGGAGCTGAGCTGTGCTCCCATGTGCCCCATCAGATCCCAGAGCTGCTGCTGTGTCCAGCATAACAAACACCTTGGGTGCTTCACTCAAAATTAACAAACATCCTCTCAAGTCCTGAATCTCAGTACTGTAATGCTTTTCTACCTGACAAAAGTGGGATGTTCATTTGAGCAAACCAAATCACCTTTACACTCTCTGACCAGCAAGGGCTGAGAACTGGAGGAGCAGGGGGGAGAAGAGGGACACTGCTGTCACCAAAGCTGTGAAAATTAATCTCATTTCCCCAGCAGCAACACAGCCCCAATGGCTCCCCAACAAATCACATGTTTTGCCAAACTGCAAAGGCAGGATTGGCCCCAGGGCTTACGGGAGGGCTTCTCCCACCCTCTTGCTATTCCAGGCACGTTCTGGAGCTTGCACATGGTAGGAGTGAGTCCAGCCGGCGGTCAGCAGGGCTATAGCCAGCCCTGCACCTGGCAGGGTCAGCAGCTGGGACCACAACACACGCTCTCACCATCCCTCCCCTGCCCAAAACAGCCTGTCCTGCCGGGAGCATTCCAGCTCCTCAACAGGATATGTTTCCTTAGACAAGTGTTATTTTTGCACATGCACCTGCGCCAGGCTCCATGGGATAATGGGATTTAACTGACAACGTGGGATCCAGGAGCTGGAGGTGGGAAATTCACAGCAGGACGTGCAAAAGGGAAGGGATTCGCACTAGAGGACTTGACAAAAGTAAAGCACAAGTTTTGGAACGGGAGCAAGAGGTGAACTGGAAGAAGTTCAAGTCATTTCAAGTGCTTGGATCACACCTACAGTCCTATAGCCAGAGAGAAAAAATTACAGCAGATTCTGCTGGTTTTTAGGCTGCTGGTTAGAATAACAATAATAAATCACCATGTAGTGGGCTGCTGCTCTGGCTCCAGAACTCCACAGGTCCTGTTACTGCTACTGCAGTGCTCCTGCAACTTCAGAGC